AATTATTTTGTGTGTTTTAAATATGAAGATATACTTAACATTTTTATTTATTTATTAAAAAAAACCCACATTAGGATTTTCTCCTGTGTCGTGGGTGCGGTTACAAACATATAATTTCACATACACATGACACCCAGAACCGGAACAACAATTTGTGGATCACACAAAGAGTTGTTCCGTGCGGGAATCGGACCCGCGACACGTTGCACGGCAGCCAGTTGCCCAGCCACCGCACCAACCGTGCAGTCAAGTATGAACCCTAATAACATCAAAATAGATGGATGTTTGTTACTGTTAAACTTAACTAAACTAAACTATCTATCTCCATAAAGAAAATAACCTTTAAGACAATATATCATTGAGGTTATTTTCTTTTTCGGTTTTTGTAATTTAACCTCTTGACTATAGATACGTACCTATGTGACACATTGTGTTTCGCATATATTCGCGCTCTGGCATACCACTAGTTAATATTAGTGTAGAAATACTGTTCTTAAATAATTAAACAGACTAAATAAGTCAAAGAATTTAATTTTTTTTTTATGTAATTGGTCGGCTAAAGAGCAGACGTATTACCTGATGGTAAGCAATCAGCGCCGCCCATGGACACCCGCAACGGAGGAGTTACGAGTGCGTTGCCGACCTTTTAGGGATTAGAGATTTGGAGATTTAGGGATTGAGGAGGGATTGGGGGCGGGGAAGGATTGGGCCTCCGGTAACCTTACTCACACGGCGAAACACAACGCTGTGGTTGTTTCACGCCGGTTTTCTGTGAGGCCGTGGTATCACTCCGGTCGAGCCGACCCATTCGTGCCGAAGCATGGCTCTCCCACACTTTAGAATTATGAAGAAAATAATTAAAAAACAATCCTCCGTAGTATAAACGAACCTCCTCCTCCTTCATCTCCTAAACTATAGTAAATACTCCATTATCATTAAGTTTAATTCAATAGATAAGCACTTAATTAAAATAGATCAGAAAACTTTCCTAAAACACACGTCAGCCATTAAATTTGATTTAGCCACAGTAAAAAAGTTAACCATGTAAGTAAGTACTCAACAGATGGAGTGACTAACGAACAAAAAACTAGTTCGTTTATTATATATAATTTGTTTGTTTATAAGCAAAAACTTTATAAGTAAATTATTATTATTATTGGAGCAAAAAAATCTTGTGATTATCTGTTGTTGGAATTGAGTATGAAGTGTTGTAAATGGAAAATGGATGTGAAAAAAAAAGTTTTTATTTTTCTATTGGTTATTTGGCTAGTGTCTATTTTATGCGAAACTTCAAATCGTGGAAACTACTATACAAATATTGATGAAACTACGTACTCATTCGCAATATATCAAAATGTATACTTAATTAAATAATTAGAGATATTGTGTGATTTTCGGCTCGACCGGAATGATACCACGGCCACACAGAAAACCGGCGTGAAACAACCACAACATTGAGTTTCGCCGTATGCGGTTACCGGAGGCCCATACCCTTCACCCTCTTAGATATCCTAACCTTTAACCCTAAAAGGCCGGCAACGCACTCGACAATAACTTCTTTGGTGTTGCGGGTGTCCATGGGCGGCTCGTTTGCCGACCATACTATAAAAAAAGCATGATGACTTTTTCTGTATTTTTTTTTTTGTAAAAGAAACTTTTGCAAACTCTAGGATTTTCTCCTGTATCGGGAGTGCGTTAACAAACACATATACTCATCACACCCAGACCCGGAACCACAATTGCGGATCATATAAAAGAGTTTTCCGTGCGGGTATCGAACCTTTAAGAAACTGACACTACTTCTCGCCCCTTCCAGGATGCTAAGTTATCAAGAAGTCATTTAATGAACGATCATTTAATAAAAGAGAGGGATCCCACAACAAATGTCATAAAAACTGACAATTGATATAAAATTGTCGCATCATTAAGTTAAACGTTACAATTGAATAATGATCAGCATCCGTCAATTTGATAATGCCGTGGAAATTCTTCGAAATTACAAAAAGAATGGAATTATATTAAGCACACAAATAAATTGCATCATGGTTGTATTTCTTGGGATCGACGTTTCTCTGTTCTTTTATGACACATTATGTTACGCTCGATGCACTAGTTATCCATTCATTGCCAAAGGTCAAACGTTTCATTAATTAACTGTCTACCTATCTAAATATAATATATTAAGTTATATTATTAACAATACAATCTATATCTATACTAATATTATAAATGCCAAAGCAACTCTGTCTGTCTTCTTTTTTTTCACGTGAAATTTGGTACAGACATAGTTTGGAACTCGAGAAAGGATTTTATCTCTTTATAATATTAGTATAAGATGATGTGATATATGATTGATAGCCTAAAACCGAAGGAGTGCTAGCCGGGTGCAAGGGCATTAATGTGGCGCAGCCTCGACCTGGGGTGTGATTCTGTAAGACTTCATTCTAAACTTCGAATCTGAATCCGCTGTGAGTAGTAGTACACTAGCACTACACTTGCGAGTTGAACTAAATTGACAGCAACATATTGATAGATAAAGTATGAGATGACGTTAAAAGTGGCATTCTAAAATTTAATTACCCCGTTACTTCGACGCTCACTTCGCACTCGAACAAGATTCAAAATCAAACAAATTTTATAGAATCGACGTGCTGAAACAAAAGAAGGAATTGGGCAGTTGTTATTCAGTACGAGTCTGACACCCCCTCTCGTCTTATCCAGGGTAGAAAAAGTAATTTGATGATTATCTGTTCTCAAAAAACCTTGAACCTAGAGAGACGATATTGGTGAACTGAATATCGAACTCTTACTGACTAAAAGCCATCCCGTTCCTTCTCCTGCTCTAGCCCAAGGTCGCAGTACATGCTGCGGATAAATTTTGATTCCCGCGCCCTTACGTGAGAGACGGGACACCAAGGTGGTTTTTAGTCAGTCTGACAGTCTCTTCGTCTCCCCAGGCGAAGGGGCTCTATGAGGATTTTCCACCTTTGGGAAAAAAAAGGTCGCAGTACATCCATTGGGCTTGATCCCCAACCTTGGTTGATGAACAACGGCCCTCTTGGCCCCGTCTGTTGTAGTCGTTGGCTTTTTGAGGCGAGTATACCTATAAAGTATAGACTATTGATAGAAAACACAATAATAACAGCACACCTCTTTACGCAAACGTGGTTGGGTAAGCATTAACTTGACAATCATTCACGAGTCACGATTTATTTTTTGCTGTTGACGTTATTTCATTTGTAACCTATGGTTGGTTTTCTATTTTCTCTTCTAAGTAATACTTATACTTCTGAATTTCAATAACTAGATTAAGGACTGATTTTTCAATGGTAAGATAAAAGTTATCTGGGGAATAATTAATTATGATGTTGTCGCATCAGAATGTTTCATTCCTCAAATATATATTATATTTATTTATTTTATATCACAAATGTAGCCTTATCTTTTGTGCTAAGCCCCACAAAACCGTTGTAATGGTTTGACTGTGGGGTCAGTGAGTATCCTTAATAACAATTTTTACTTATAACTAAATACTATATAGATAACATGAATGCTATTGAAAAATCAGCCCTAAAGGTCAATAATCTAAACTCTAAATCTAAAAAATAATAGTTCGATGATTCAGTAAGCAATCTACTCCGCTTACGCCAAAGAGATACAAGTGCGTTCTCTCTCTCTCGCCTTTTAAATATTAGGCGAAGCAAGGGTGAAGTTTGGGCCTCCGGTAACTTCACTGAAACAATCCTGGAGCTGTTTCATTTAACAGTGCCAGTCGTGGAATCACTATTGTCGAGGCCGTGAATTTAGGTTCCACCGTAAGTGATAGAACGGCCTTACATAATGTCGACCGGCGTGAAACAACGCCTGTGTTATGTTTCGCCGTGTAAGCAAACAGTAGGAAGGATTGGTCCTTCCTTCCTTTGGGGATCAGGGAAGGGAGGTGTCAACTCCTTGATCCCCAAATCCCCAATTGTTGTCCCTAACAATTTACAAAAGGCCGGCAACATACTTGTGTCCTCTTTGGTGTGCACAGTCCGTGCCGATTTGCTTGCCATTAGGTAATATGTCTGCTTGGTTGCAACCTATACTTACTATAAAAAAAGTTTTATTATGTACGTGCATTTGTATGAATGAACATAACCGGTTGACATAAATAAATAAAAAAAGACAAAACAGTATACAGTGCAAAAGTGTTTCACTTATTTATCAGCATTGGTCAGTCCACTACCGACGTCAGCGCCATCTATCCATTTATACATGAACTGTGATCTGTAACAAGAGTGACCACTACTCTAGTTCCCTTTGTTGGACACAAGCGTGGTACGAACGCCATCTTACGGAAAATGTTTGAAGTTTTTGGAGAGGTCTGTGAGGTCAGTCTAATAAAATGTTAGTAGATGTTAGTAGCACAATTTAAGGGACCACCCCTTAAATTGTCAGCCGGGGTTGCGGGGTAAGCGCAATAAGGTACCGCGACCTCGGCACAGAGCAGGAGAAGGAACAGGGGGGTTTTTAGTCAGTAAGAGTCTGACACTCCCTCCTGCCCGGCCCTGGGCGGGAGAAGTCATTTGATGATTTTCCCCTCACAAAAAAAAAAAAAAAACCCCTTAAATTGTGCAATATAAAATAGATACTGTGTGACAGAATATAAGGTATCTTTTACGCGACAAGTTTTTTAATAAGTTGTTTTGTTTCGGTCCCAATGTAATTCAGAATTAGCTTGGGCTACAAAAATGAAATTGCGCACATACATTTATTTATCATACTTTCTCAATGAAATGTGCATGCAATAGCCAAAGAGCACATAAAAATTTACTGATTCAAAAACAAATCTTAACCATTTGTTAGGTTAAAAATCAAAACTCTTCGTAACAAAGTTTCTTAACATTTGGCCCGAAATGACATAAATAATTATTACTACCAAAACAATAACAAACAGCTGACCCGGTAATGATGAATGCAGATAAAATCAGTACAGTACCTAAACTACAGTGCTAAAATAACAACCAAGGCGAGAACACATATTAGCACAGTGTAGATAAAATTGAAAACATGAACACTACAGTTTTCTACGCAATTCTGTGCCTACTTATATCCGTAAACAATGCAGAAGTTCCAGAAAAATACTTTCAAGAAAGAAGTGCATTATTAGCCGAAGAAATAAACACAGCTGTTGGTGGAAAAATAAACCTTAATGAAAATGAAACGATAGCAAATAATATATTGATGAAATGGAAGATGAAGGAACTCAATGATTCTAATACGCAAAGGATAAATTTCGCCAAGCACTACTTTACTTATAAGAAGGATATAGAAAAGTCGAAGGTTTATAAGATTATTAAGAGGATGCCGAAGGGCGGATTGCTACACGTGCATAGTACGCTGTTGTTGAATGAAGATGTTTTAATGCAGTTTACATATGAAGATAATTTGTACGCCTGTTTCGCAAATGGCGACTTGAGATTTTATTACTCGACAAAACTCCCTGAATTTCCGTGTGCTACGAAATGGGAGCTCGTCAGTGATCTCAGAAACTCTTCTAGTAGTCCAGAATCATTTGATTCTCAATTGAAACAATATCTAACAATATACAATGAAAATGGAGTTGACTGTAACTATGAAGATATGGACACAACTTGGAAGAAGTTTAGTAAAGTAGGCAAAACTATGGGATCTTTGATTGGAAACAGGTCAATTAGAGAAAGGTATTGCTACGAAACACTGAAGCAATTATATGATGATAACATTATGTACGCTGAGATCCGGACAAGTCTATACGGTGTACACGAACTAGACGGATCACAACACAGCAAAGAATACATGGTCGAGCTATACAAAAATACGACAGATAAGTTCATTGAAACCCATCCAGACTTTGTTGGAGTAAAACTAATCATAACACAAAGTAAACGTCAATCTGAAAGTGTGGCAATAGCTTTAAATATGACGAGGAGGTTAAAAAAAGAAATGCCGGATATGATAGCAGGGTTTGATCTAGTTGGACAAGAGAACAAAGGGAATCCATTGACTGGATATCTTCCAATACTATATGAGGCTAAGGATGAACTAAATTACTACTTCCACGCTGGAGAGACTCCGTTGTCAGGAACTGTAGTTGATGAGAATTTGGTGGACGCAATACTTCTAGGCTCGAAGAGGATAGGGCACGGGTACGCTTTGACGAAGCACCCGTCTCTGATGTCAGCTGTGATGAAGAAGGACATTGCGTTGGAAGTGAATGTGATATCAAACGTGGTGTTGTCTTTAGTGCACGATGTTAGGAACCACCCCTTGGCTTCATACCTGGCGATGGGTGCGCCTGTAGTGCTGTCCAGCGACGATCCTGGCGCTTGGAGCGCGGAGCCAGTGTCTCATGACTTCTTCGTGGCGTTCATGGGTGTGGCCAGTAAGCACGCGGACCTGAGGATGTTGAAGCAGCTTGCTCTGAACTCTATAACTTACAGTGCGCTGGACGATGAAGGTAAGGCGAGACTTCTGAAAGTGTTCAACAATCGATGGGATAAGTTTGTTAGAGATGTTATCAATGATGTATCGTTGTCAGATACTTAGTGTTGATAGAAGGCAGGTGATTGCAATAAAGTATTAATTAATAGTGACTGTACTGTTGGCGACTGTGGGCAAGCGGCTGCTGTGCAACGTGTCGCGGGTTTGATTCACAGACGGAACAATACTTTGTGCATAAGTGAATTTCTGTTTGTAAACGCACAAGAGAAAATCCTAGTGTAGGGAAAAGATTTTAAAAAGGAAAATAAACTGTTATCTCTGTTTATGAGCGACGGGTTCCTACATATATGGGTACATAATATCCCAGTGTAAGTTACACTTAATTATGCCAGTGAAAACAAACGTTAATATACATATTGTTTTATTATAATACTTGTAGGTATGTAAGTATGTTAAGTGACTGAGCTAAGATCAAAAGTTTATCTGAATATCGATGGGTAATCATTTAAATTATCATTATTCTTTAAGTAAGCATTTTCTGTATGTTTAATATCGTAACATTCTAATTTTATGAAGAGAGACATAAATGCACCTTGCATTTTATTAAGAATTGTCCCGTTTTGCTAAAATTGTATACAGCTATTACTAACTTAGCAAAGAATTGATGAATTTCAAACATCAAAATTCAGCTAAATTAGATTATTAAATTGCTTTTCTATTACCTTGTTTTTTATTTTAAAAGATATTTACTTTAAACGTATCCTAAATACGTCAAAAAATTACCAAGTGTTAATTTTATGTACTGCGTAAATGACAGTTGTGTCTACTTACCGCTAGATGTCACTACTATAAGACATTACGTTGTTCATGGAACTTTCAGCGCCATCTATGAACGAGTAGCTAATGCTATTGAAGAAAGAGAAGCTAATAGAATTGAAGTTTATTTATGGAATGTGTCTATTTATTTCTTGTTATTGGCTTGAATATTGTTAGAAATAAACGAATGGATTATTTAAATGTCATTTAGTTATAATAATTTAATAAAACAATTTTTTACCAACTAATTGTTTTGTGTTTCGCCTGACTTTAAACTGAAAATAAATAGTTTAGCGTTGTTTTGCAGTGGGAATGAGATTACCGGAGGCCCAATCCTTCCCTTACACCAATACCCATCCAGACTTTGTTGGAGTAAAACTAATCATAACACAAAGTAAACGTCAATCTGAAAGTGTGGCAATAGCTTTAAATATGACGAGGAGGTTAAAAAAAGAAATGCCGGATATGATAGCAGGGTTTGATCTAGTTGGACAAGAGAACAAAGGGAATCCATTGACTGGATATCTTCCAATACTATATGAGGCTAAGGATGAACTAAATTACTACTTCCACGCTGGAGAGACTCCGTTGTCAGGAACTGTAGTTGATGAGAATTTGGTGGACGCAATACTTCTAGGCTCGAAGAGGATAGGGCACGGGTACGCTTTGACGAAGCACCCGTCTCTGATGTCAGCTGTGATGAAGAAGGACATTGCGTTGGAAGTGAATGTGATATCAAACGTGGTGTTGTCTTTAGTGCACGATGTTAGGAACCACCCCTTGGCTTCATACCTGGCGATGGGTGCGCCTGTAGTGCTGTCCAGCGACGATCCTGGCGCTTGGAGCGCGGAGCCAGTGTCTCATGACTTCTTCGTGGCGTTCATGGGTGTGGCCAGTAAGCACGCGGACCTGAGGATGTTGAAGCAGCTTGCTCTGAACTCTATAACTTACAGTGCGCTGGACGATGAAGGTAAGGCGAGACTTCTGAAAGTGTTCAACAATCGATGGGATAAGTTTGTTAGAGATGTTATCAATGATGTATCGTTGTCAGATACTTAGTGTTGATAGAAGGCAGGTGATTGCAATAAAGTATTAATTAATAGTGACTGTACTGTTGGCGACTGTGGGCAAGCGGCTGCTGTGCAACGTGTCGCGGGTTTGATTCACAGACGGAACAATACTTTGTGCATAAGTGAATTTCTGTTTGTAAACGCACAAGAGAAAATCCTAGTGTAGGGAAAAGATTTTAAAAAGGAAAATAAACTGTTATCTCTGTTTATGAGCGACGGGTTCCTACATATATGGGTACATAATATCCCAGTGTAAGTTACACTTAATTATGCCAGTGAAAACAAACGTTAATATACATATTGTTTATTATAATACTTGTAGGTATGTAAGTATGTTAAGTGACTGAGCTAAGATCAAAAGTTTATCTGAATATCGATGGGTAATCATTTAAATTATCATTATTCTTTAAGTAAGCATTTTCTGTATGTTTAATATCGTAACATTCTAATTTTATGAAGAGAGACATAAATGCACCTTGCATTTTATTAAGAATTGTCCCGTTTTGCTAAAATTGTATACAGCTATTACTAACTTAGCAAAGAATTGATGAATTTCAAACATCAAAATTCAGCTAAATTAGATTATTAAATTGCTTTTCTATTACCTTGTTTTTTATTTTAAAAGATATTTACTTTAAACGTATCCTAAATACGTCAAAAAATTACCAAGTGTTAATTTTATGTACTGCGTAAATGACAGTTGTGTCTACTTACCGCTAGATGTCACTACTATAAGACATTACGTTGTTCATGGAACTTTCAGCGCCATCTATGAACGAGTAGCTAATGCTATTGAAGAAAGAGAAGCTAATAGAATTGAAGTTTATTTATGGAATGTGTCTATTTATTTCTTGTTATTGGCTTGAATATTGTTAGAAATAAACGAATGGATTATTTAAATGTCATTTAGTTATAATAATTTAATAAAACAATTTTTTACCAACTAATTGTTTTGTGTTTCGCCTGACTTTAAACTGAAAATAAATAGTTTAGCGTTGTTTTGCAGTGGGAATGAGATTACCGGAGGCCCAATCCTTCCCTTACACCAATGCCTAAATCCCCAAAAGGTTCGCAACGCACTCGTAACTCTTTCGTTGTTGTGGGTGTCGATGGGCGTTGCTAATTGCTTACCATCAGGTAATCCTAAAAAAGTCCACACGGTTGCCGTCCTTAAAAAAAATGAGCAATAGCAATTAAACTGAGAACCCACACTTATCCACAGTCGGATAAAACTCAAGTATAATGTACAATTCATAAAAGCTAACTTATCAGTAACAAAAATCTGACATTATATTTCGTCTCCCAAAAATGTGCGTCACGACGGAACAATTGTTTTGCCCAATTATAGCTCTTACACCGTTGTAATAAGGGTTATATCAGCGCGGGTCATCTCGGGTCAGAGTCGTGAGAATGACGTGGTTTAAAGATGCGTTTGCAGCTGGATCTCTGCTTACTCCCGAAGCGTGAGTGATTTATGATATAGACGTTTTAATAGGTACACATTATCGAGTAGTTTTAAAGAAATTACTTTTGCAATCAAAGCATATTGTCATTTGTCAAAAGGAGGCAGCCGTTTTCAGAGCCACCGCATCAACCACGACACAGGAAAAGTCCTTGTGTTGGGCAATGTTTAATACAAAAAGAGAAAGAAAATAGAAAGTCTCTACTGACTGTCAAAAGAGTAACCAAGAAGTTTCTTAATCCTAGTTCTCCATAGAATTCTACACTGAGGAACGAGCTGGTAGCTTCACTAGAGGACAGACTGGTTGACTAACACTTTTCAACTTATCTATTTAAATAATTTTGTTTGAGGTAGGTACTTACAATACACAACACATACAATTTCTTTCATGATCTCATCATCATCATCAGCCTATAAGTGCTCACTGCTGAGCAAAGGCCTCTTCTCAAACGGAGAAGGTTTGAGCATTAACCACCACGCTTGCTCAAGGCGGATTGGTGATTTCAAACTTATATTTAGAAATTATAAGTCCTAGTTTCCTCACGATGTTTATCTTCACCGTATGTCAGTGGTGTCTATATAATCATAGAAAATACATATTAGTCGGAAAAAGTCACATTGGTACTTGCCAGGTTTCGAACCTGCGCTCTCATGCATGAGAAGCGGGCACCTTAACCTCTGGGCCACCACGACTTTCATGATCTACTTTAATGAAATTAATTATGTGACTTTGATTATGACTATGATAGCAATGTTTCTCTAGTAACCCTGGAAGTCTGCTGTAATACTCCTTTTTTTATAAGGGGAAAGTCGTCAAACCCCCGTTCCTTCTCCTGTTTTAAGTCGAGGTCGCGGTACCTCATTGCGCTTACCCCGCAACCCCGGCTGAACATCAGCCCTATAGGGCCGCGACCGTGGCCATTACGAGTATTAATTACGCTTGCACTCACAACCCTGGTTTGTTTGGTTAAGACAATAATGTGTGAAAAAAAAATATTTTTCAATTTTGAAAATGGAATGCTGTCCGGATTTTCCCATAAGCAGGAAGAATTAATAATATGATGTGAAAAAAGATTTTTGAATTTTGAAATTCGAATGGCAGGAAGAATAATAGGTACTGACATGCGGTTTCTGAAAGGTCTGTCAGCGCTAAAATTAACTAATCTCCTGTTAAATCTCTTGTCAAATCATCTGATTGGTTGTTGATAATCAGTCAACCAATCAAACCCCTTGTCCTTGTGACTTGACAAGAGATTTAAATTGATTTTAACATTGATTGGCCTTTCGGAAACCGGGTGTAAGTCAGCTTTACTTCAGTACCTATAGTTTCCTAACCACTTCAACGAATAACCAAGACACGGCCATATCTCGTCCGCCATTCAATTTTAGAATTTAAAATAATTGTAACAGGATACATTATTCAATTCATATCCTGACTGCAGCCACTTAAATCAAATTGTTTGGTGTACAAGCAAATATTATCAAAACAGGGGTCCAGCCATTGTCAAATTGACCGAATGATTGTCGGGGGAACGAATGAACATGAATGGGATGTATTGTTCGATTTAAGTATTTATAGGGGAATACTTTGACGGCCAGTCCGCTCTGGTGAGATTATATTTGGTGACATGCGACATGCGTATTTTATGTTTTTTTTTAATGAGTCTTACTTATATATTTGAGTGCGAAAGTTTACGATCTTTGGATGTTTACCAGTCAATCACGCCAAAACGGCTGGACGGATCTGGATGAAATTTGGCACAGGCATAGTATACACTCCGGAAAAGGACACAGGCTACTTTTTATCATCATACTACTCGGGCGAAGACGCGGGCGGAAGCAAGCGTTAAATATATTGTTACGATGTCTTTGAGTTATTTTCGCTATGATGGAGGAGTAGAGATATTTATTATCTAGATATTTATAATAGGTGGTACATACAATTTGTAAGTACTTATCTATAAACATGAAAAGCGGGAGAGCCAAGCTTAGACGCACGAATGGGTCGACTCGACCAGAGTGACGGCCACGACGACCACGGCCATACGGACAACCTGCGTAAAACAACTACAGTATTGTGTTTCGCCGTGTGATTGAAGTTACCAGAGGCCCAATCCTTCACCTCCCCTATCTCTTCCTTATTTCTTATCCCTTCTCAATCCCTAAATTTCCGAAAAACTAATCCTCAAAAGTCCGGCAAAGCATTTGTAACTCCTCTGGCAGCGCCGATTTCTCATCATCAAGTAACCCACTGGCTCTTTTGCTGACCTATCGCATAAAAAACCAATCCTTATATGTGTATAAATTTCGTGTCGCGTGTTTGTCCGCGATGGACTCCTAAACTACTAAACCGATTTTAAATTTGATTTGCATTCCGTTTGCATTTTCATCCAACTTGAAAGATTAGGATAGCTTACATCTCAATTTATAGTCACAGTGTTATTATCATATTGCAAATTATTAAATTATCAATAATTGATAAATATTAACAAATGTATTCTACCTAACATAAGAAATAACAAACAGTTATTTATGTATCTTTAGCCTGAAATAAATTATTTTATTTTATTTTATTAATTCTCTACAAAATTCCACTAAACATGGTATTGTATTGACTCCACTCAATGACAAGAACGCCCACCATTGATCAGCAGACAGTTGCATAAGAAAAACAAAGATCAAAAACGAATTAAAGAAAAAACAAGCAACAATCAGAATATCAAGACAACACGGACGAACGCAAGACCCCAATTGATGGACAGCCAAAATGCGAAACTACTGCTTGGAACCCCTAAAAGCCATTTATCAGTAGTTTTTGCTCCCAATAAAGAGGGCTTGTTGAGGCAGTTGTTCTCTACAATAAGGTTGGGAAAGACGCCGGTCATAAATCTTCGGGGCACAGGTGACACCGGCTGGATCAAAGAGCGCGGTTCCCTTTCCCCCACCGAGGAGGACGTCAACATTTGCATACTGACTAAGTAAATAAAGTTAAAAGATCCTAAATCGTGTTGATTGAGATGTTCGGGATGTTGTGCAGTTCGTGGGAGATGCGTCGGCGAGATTCCCGCGTTAAGGCACAAAAGATAGATGAGATTGTGTTTTCTTTTTTTTTCTTTTCATGTCGATGGTTGTAATTTTATGGCTTCAGCTAGAACATAGGCTTTATGTACGTCCGTCGAATCCTTTGAAAGATGTGGTAAGAGGGGCTAAATCTCATTGCCCTGTGTAGTCTTATGGCTATCAGTTAAGTTGGGATTGTTTTAATTTCTTTTTCTAAACGTTGGGTCAAAAAATCATTAGAATTTTCTCCGGTATTCTGGGTGCGTTTATAAACATACTATTTCACATATACATTATATCTGAATCCGGACTGACAATGTGGATAGAGACAAGACACACAATAATAATGATAACCATACATCAGTGAGAAGGATGCTGAGCCGTGATTTCTTTAAAAAACATCTTATTTGATTGTATTGGCTGATTGAACTTTGTAGTTGTGTATTACAGTGTAATTTAATACTTTTTGTCTGCACACGTTGTAATTGTAATGTTTACAATAGCTTAAAACTGGGGACCTATAATTGGCTGCATGTTACATAATTTGTTATTTAATTAATAAATGTTAATGCTGTTGGTCCTCCAAATAATAAATAAATAATAAAGAGTTGTTCCGTTAAGGATTCGAAGTCACGACACATTGCGCGGCATCCAGTTGCCCAACCACCGCGTCGACTGTGCAGACATAAGATGATTATTATTACAATATCTACGCAACAAATAAAAACAACGTAGATTGATAATTATTAACTAATTACGTAAAACAACACTCCAAACCGGCCATAACACCCACAGGATGAACAGCAATTTGTGATCAGAAATTAACCAAATTATCTCCCATTTTTTGTCTATCCACCTCATCAACAGCTGCCAAATCGTCTCAAAGGACAAGGGGTCACCTTTATCCATCGCGTGCTACCAAAAAGCACCGCCGATTGACACAAAGTGACGATACAATGATCACGGAAGACCACATCCTCCCAAATTGTGTCCTAATGACACCCAATCGACGAAAAAACGGATCTTTTGAACCATTTTGAGCCGATTTGTTACTTTGAGAAAAAACAAATTTGTATTTACAGCTGATTTTTTCTTTAGACAACCTTATTTTAGTGTATTAGGGTTGGGTTTTGTGGGGTTTTTAGTTGACTATGTCTTACTTATCTTGGTGATTGGTAAGGAATTAATCTGTATTGGCTCCCGTTTGCAATATGTCGTTATTCCATTCAGATGTTGTGGACTGCGGTTTTGTGATCTTGTAATGATTCCGAAGACTTGTAAATTATAGAGTTGGTACCTATGTCATAAGGATAGAAAGACAGGTAACTTTATGAATATTAATCTTTTATACATTTTTCCCTTTCTATGCATTTCAGTGGAAATACTAACCGCGTCTAAACAATACCTTAAGAAGATATATACGTATATGGCATATAGTTTATAAAAAATACGTACTATATTATATATATCTGGTGTATAATGTATATCATTTATCTGGTAAATAAAGGCTTTTCAATCTTGAAACGAGTTATATTATATTTAGCTACATAATTTATTTGTCAGTCTGCTCTAAATATTTATAATATTTAGAATATATTTATAATGTTTGGAATACTTAAAAACTTCTTGTTGCGACCTATTTATAAATAGGTCTGTTCTCGCTAACAAGAGTTAATCGATTTTAATTTTCCAAAAATAATAAGTAGGAACATTGTCTCTGAAAGGAAACCCAACTTAGGATACGTAATAAAAAACTGTGACAGAGCCATGCTTCAGCATGCATTCTCGACTGCACAACTGGCGTGATACCAGGGCCCCATAGAAAACCGGCGCAAAACAACCACAACGTTGCGATTTGCCGTAAGAGTGTGGTTACCAGAGGCCCAATCCTTGGTCTCCGCGGATTAACGAGGAATAGGGCCCCCCTCAATCCCTAAATCTCCGAAACCCTTATCCCTAAAAGGCCGGCAGCGCACTCAAATCCTACAATACCCTATTCCTTCTCCTAACCCAGTGGCCGGGGCCGCGGTATCCATATTGAGGCTGCATCCGCAACCCCGACTTGCGAATAATGGAATAACGTATGTATCTGAGACATTAATTTTAGCAGTTTCACCCTCATCCACTTAGGTAACTAATTAATATATTTTCTTCATTTTACCCTAATTTAATCACCGTTTCACCTTGACCATTAATTACAAAAACATTCAAAAGACACAAAACAAAAATATCTCATGTTCATTATCTTATTTTATAAAGTCTATTTATAATGGTATTTTAATTTCTATAACTATGGGGTTCTTTCATGGTCTTTTGTGGCAGACGATAATTGTTTCCAACTGTCTCTTGTGTCCTGTTTCCTAGGGTAGCAACAATAGGACTGTCATTATCCTGGTTTAATTATAAACCAGGTGTATAAGTAAAGATGTCATATGTCGATTATTTTAGTTTGAGGCAAAAAATTTTTGCTGCAGTGTTTGACTGGGCGGCAACTACTTAGGTGTTCAATTCCCGTATAGAACAACACTTTCTGTGATCCATAATTGGGTAGTTTCCTGGGTCAAAAAAATATTACGACTTCAAAAATAAAACTAAAAAGCAAAAAATAAACTTATTAAAAATTAATACATGTTTTTATTTAGTTAAATAGAAAATAATATTAATAGCCATTTTATAATTTAAAATTCTAATACCTTAATAATGTACCTCCTCCTTTTTTTGAAGTCGGTAAAAATAAATTAATTCGACGTTTCAACACATTAACAACATATAACAATAAAACATAACACTTTTATTCATCGATCGATCGATATACGATTTTTTTGATTATTTTTTTCAATTTTTTTAAGGAATAAGTACGCTATTTGACGCAAAAAATAACTAAGACGTCATAACTTGTGTTTTATACAAATTTCATAGAAAAGTATTGTTTTTGACATTTGGATAAAAGTATCGAATTTGACTAGTTGGAAACTACCGTATTGTTATTTCAGGTCTTGATAGCTTGGGTTTCATGAGAATAGAAGAGACCAAGAAGTCAACTGTTAGGGTTAGTGTTAAAGTTATGATCTGAGCCAATGTTGGGAAAAAGCTACTTATATCGTTAGATTTTCATCAATATTATACATATAAAAATGTCTCGCAAAATGTGTTGGTACGCGCTTACCTCAGCAACGGCTGGACCAATTGAACTGTTTATTTTATTGTTCTTTTTATTAACATCAGGAGAAGTTTTTTATAAAAGAAAATTTATTATTAGAAAAATAGAGAGTAATATGTGGAAAAAGGAACCTTTCGTTGTCAGCGAGATTGTAGCACCCGCGCGATGGGGGTGTGGGCCACTAGTATTTAATAAAATAAATTTGTAAATCCAGGAAGGAACAAATAAAAATCAATTTTCATCACCAGGCACTATAGTTACACGAAAATATTGGCGCGAAAAAAATATAATAATAATACCTACAACACAACAGAGCTACAAATGAAATAAAGGTAGAAAAATAAAAAGAAGTTTGCGTAATTTCGATGTGATCTTATTGAGCATTTTTTTATGTCGACTAGTGTTTATAAACATGTATTGTGATGGCTGATATTCAACTTGTGACCAGTCTTTAAAAAAACTTTTCAGTGTGGGAGAGCTTCGGCACGAATGGGTCGGCTCGACCGGAGGGATACCACGGCCTCACAGAAAACCGGCGTGAAACAACCACAGCGTTGTGTTTTACCGTATGAGTGAGGTTACCGGAGGCCCAATCCTCCCCCCCCCCCCAATCCCTCCTCAATCCCTAAA